GGCCTGGTGTGGAGGTACCGGGCCTGGTTTGAAAGGGCCGGGCTTGTTGTAAAGGAGCCGGGCCTGGTGTGGAGGTGCCAGGCCTGGTGTGGAAGGACCGGGTCTGGTGTAAAGGAGTCAGGCCTGGTGTGGAGGGACCTGGCCTGGTGTAAAGAAGCCAGACCTGGTGTAAAGGAGCCAGGCCTGGCGTGGAGGTACCGGGCCTGGTGTGAAAGGGCCGGGCTTGGTGTAAAGGAGCCAGGCCTGGTGTGGAGGCGCCGGACCTGGTGTAGAGGAGACGAACCTGGTGTGGAGGAGCCGGACCTGGTGTGGAGGCACCGGACCTGGTGTGGAGGAGCTGAACCTGATCTGAAAGACAGCGGCCGGAGCTAGGACAGCCGGGCCTGATCTGAAAGATACCAGTCAGAGCTGGAAGAGCCGGGCCTGGTCTGAAAGCAGCCGGTCTGGCCTGAGGTAGAGGGCTAGACCCCACAAAGAGGAGAAAAGATTGATCCAGAGAAGGTAGTCCTGGTGTGAAAGGTCAGGTCCGAGCTGGACGAGTCAGATCTGGCTTGAAGGTGGCAGATTCTAGCTAGCATGGCCGTGTGCATGGACGACACCCCAGGCGTGCCCCAGTACGGCTTTAGGTGTGCAGCCGTGGCTGGTGGTATCGACCTCGGGGGAGCGGACTCCCCATCCGATTGACCTGGTTCTAGACCGGTGAATGGCCTGAAGAGCACACCTCCCAGCTTGCCACAGCTGAGTGCGGACCACAGGCCGATCTACACATGCGGCCGGGTCGGCGGCTGCACCCATATCTTGAGCAGGAGGCAGCAGCACCAAGGCGGGATTTCGCACCGCAGGCGCGCCAAGCCACAGCCTGGCGGCGGTGGCGCCGCCTGCCGGCCGCCAGAGCGACTACCGGCCGCCGCCGCCGCCACCGCTGACCGGGACCGGCCACTTCCGGCGTCACGCGGCCGCCGCTCGCGCCGCGCCGCCGGCCGCCGCCCAATCACCGATCAATTCAGCGCATTGTCGGCGCCGCCGGGCCGCGCTGCGAGGGGCGCTGAATCATCGCCACGACTGGAGACTGGCCAGGCCGAGGCCGTTAGCGGCGGCAGCAATGGGAAATCGTAGAATGGGAGACGATGGCTGCTTCCCAGATCGAAGAAGGGTGGCGAAACTTACAGCCGTTGCGTTCGACCTCGCGGAGCGCGGCAAGATAAGATCTGAACCAATTAATCTTCCGCTAATCGCTCTTGTAATCTGGGTTACCTCGGCACCATTTTTAACGCCCGTGTCTTCCCAGATGGGCTCGCGCCGCGCCGGGGTGCGGACGCCAGCGGCGAGCGGGAGTCTTCACCACTTGAAATGCTTGGTCTAACCTGAGACAGCTGCCGCGCTAGCACTCCATGACCAACAGGCCTGGTCCTCATCAGCCTGGGTGCTCCGGACTACCTTCTGTGCTCTCCCATCCGTCCTTCCCGCTAGGGTGGGGATCACCACTCGTCAGAGCCCAACCTGGGTGCTCCGTACTACCTTCCGTGATCCCTCACCCCTCCTTCCTGCTAGGGTGGGGATCGCCGCTCGTGATCCATCACGGGCCGCCACGCTTTTGATCAGCCGACGCGCCACTGCGGGTGTCACCGCGTGCCTCCCCAATGGCCGTGAAGAATGCGGCCACGCCACGGGGGCGGCTACAAAGGACGACCGCCGACCCGGCCCGCACGCTGCCGAAGCCATGTCCGACCCTCAGACCGAGCCTGCCCTGACTGGCCGTAGCCGACCCGGCCCGCACGCCGCCGAAGCCATGTCCGACCCCCAGACCGCCCCCTGCCCTGACTGCCCGTAGCCCTTCGGTGGAAGTGGTTTCCAGTGGTGATTTTCACTTCAGCATGAGTTGGAATAATTGAGTGGTGTATTTGCACTCGAGTTTTTTTTATGCGGTGCCATTGGTCTGTGCAGAGCAAAGCAAGTATGACGTGTTTACGTCGCTATGCGATTGGAAACAGAACTTTCGAGACGTTTGCATACTGCCGACTGCGAACCCCGAAGCACGTCACAGTATTTTGAAGGTCCTCTAAAGGTATTGTCAGAATGATAATCACTGCAACTGCTCTGACAAATGCGTTTCGTTTCCAGCTGCCATACAGGATTGGTGTGACAATTTGTCGGCAGGTCTCCGACATAATATCAGAAGTTTTCAGAAAGCTTGTGCTAACATGTTTCGAAAGTTCCTGCATGAAGGTCGTCTTGCGTGATTAAAAACACTTCTGCTAGATCACGCACGCCATTGGTTAATATCGTACATTATATCATGACAGTTTTTAACCAGCCATTGTTCAGCACCCTTCGCAGCAAAGTAATCACTAATCTTACCCTTTGTAGTGCTTCAAATGAATGCTAGCAAACGCGATGGCGATACAATGAGTTAGTTGACTGATGAGTCATACCACCTCTCTTGACCCCAGTAGCATAAAAGGTACCCAGGAGAGCTTTCACGCCAGATAAACAGACAAGCTCGGGTCGTCCGATATCAGTACGGACACTTAAGCCCCACAGTGACCAGATCGGCCCCGAGCTGCGCCTGGACGTGCAGGCAGGTGTCAGTCGGCGGCGGCGGCTCGGCCGGGTCGTCGGGCGCAGTGCGGTCGCCGGCGCGGGCGGCGCGCGCCCTGTGCGGGCGGCGGGGCCGGGCCGGGCCGGGGTGGTCCGGCGCCCGGTGTGGCCGGCCACACACCCGGCGCCGCCCAGAGCGCAGCGCGCAGCCCTCCCTCACCGGCCGGCGCCGGCCGAGCGCGGCTGACAGATTCATTTGTCGGTCGGCGGCACCGGGCGGCGCGCAACGGCTAGGGGTCGCCGATTGTGGCGCAGACGGGCCGTCGGACCGCGGGAGCTGACTGGTGACGCATCCAACCCAGCCAGGCTCCCCGCGCTGCGAATGAACCACGTTGCGAAATCGGTGGCGGAATGGATTTCGACGGACTCGTGTGGCCCAGCCGGGCAACTCGACACCTGACCAGAACAAACACATCTCAACTGTACATTTTGCGAGCCACATATTGTCTATGAAAAAAACAACAACCCAATTATTGGGAAGCTTCTTACATCTCACCTAATAAAGCCAACACCCGCTTACGCGCGCGTTAGTTAATCCCATAGGGAAAACCTGGGAGACTGGTCTTTATTCTTTTACCGCCATCATATCCGTTTAAGAGCATGTCATCGAGCCCAGATTCTTTAGCTACGCGCTTTGAAGTTGTTTCCTATGACAGAAAGTGTGCTGTTGCGTGAAACGCACCTCCCAAAGGCTGTCACAATTCGCCTTTGCTGAACGCGCTGACGCATAATGACGCCTAAGCTACTAAGTAGACCACTTCACGGACTGAGTTTTGAGGATCTGGCTCAGTCCACACAAGCTGTTCCAGATCCCATCCGTCCGCCAATTCGCCTTTCCCAGATTTCCCAATCCAGTCCGGTCCGACCTATCAGAATATTTTCTCACATGAATCTGGGCCAATCCGCTTCCGCATGAAGGACGTTTTTAAGAATTGTGTCACGCTTTAACAAGCCCCCGGACGGCCGGTCCAATGCCCTTTGCTCTGATGGAAGTCAATGTGAACTCCCCGGCTGAGATTTCAACAACCAAGGTGGCTAAAGACACTAAATTGACAGAGTGGGTTGGCCCGTATGCGAACTTACTTGTGTCAACATTTAAGGTTCATAGGCCTACCACCTTGGGGTCAAATAGGGTCAAAGTCCAACTCCAGATTGGTGTCTTAAGTGCTCCCAGATCTTCTCATGCAACCGTCATGAACCTAGATTCCTGTTCTGAGCAAAATGTCCGTGGTACTCATTTAAGATTAGCGATCTTGTTTGACATTTAAAAGGTCAAGATGATCAAAACCTTTGAGATCGCTCTTATTTTGCAATTCAATTGCATTGTCTAGAGCAGTCTTTTCCACTTAAAAGTGTAACAATAGTCACAAGTCAGCTTATTTCATCATATCTGGTGCTTGTTTCAATATATTCAAATATGAAACATTCCTTTTACGAAGGTACAAACCTAAGGTAAACGTATATTAAATCTGAAAGTGGAGGACGGGGCAGTTAACACTGTTTGCCCCCCCCCCCCCAACTCGAAAAGTCGGGAGTCCATGGCACCCTGGCCCTTCCCCCTGTGTCTACACCCATGGAATTGTGGCAGCCTAAAGAGTTACCTCTTATCAAAGAGCATACAACAAAAGCATCAGGGAGCATACCACAACTTCCTACACATTGAGCTAAAAAATGATACTCCGCTATACACAGCATCTTGAGCGGCACACAGTGCCACCTTTCCGGAAGAGATTAAGTTGCACCATCAATTAACTATATCAGGCGTGCCCAAATCAGACTGAAAAGAACAGGTTCTGAAATGTTTCCTCACATGATCCCACTGTGATTAAAAAATTTTCATCGACGTTTTTTCATGAAGCTGCTTATTCATAGTTGTCAAAAGAAACGTTTTCTTCAACAAATATATAGATACCTTGTTTTTGTTAATCCACAGCCAACGAACCTAGTCCTTCAGCAGGTTCTATGCCGCAGCTGCATTATTCATGAGGTGTTTGAAAACCAGCAACTTGCATTGTGTAGTTATTTACGAATACATTGTTCAATATAGTCTAATCCAGCAAGCACTGGCGCGGCTCAGGCTCTGCCAGGTATTGGCTACACCAGCTGTCAGCAGCTCCACAGCCCTCTCCGCCGCGCACGAGGCGGATTCAGTGGGCCCTTCGAACTGGTCGCTTGACAGACAAGAAAATTATGGCCGCCGTTGTACTAAGAACAAAACTACATTGTTTACAAATTAGGACAGCTTTAGGTATGCAGGTGGAATTGGTGTGAGATAGATTTGAAAACCTATGCTGGTTTCATATCAGGCCAGAAAAAATTAATATACTTCAATTTGCTGCTGCTTCAGTAGCCTCTCTTAAGATCGTTGCTTTCAGCCTTACGTTATATAAGAGCATAGGCTATTAAATCCATCTCACATTTATTCAAATCATGTTCAAAAAACGATATCCGAACTACACCTAGCTAAAATGTAATGAAAATGAAAAGCTCCCTGCGTATGATGATCCGCATGAGCCTTCAGGTTTCGTGTAGTGATGACTAGTGTTATGGATCCATTCCAGAGCATTCTTGCGACTGCTTCTAAACGTGCATTTCACCTGTCTGATAAGTGTCGCATTTAAGTGCATATTTCGCGGCTATAATAACGCATGACGAAATGACCTTGAAAAGCTCCAGCTTACTCCTGAAGTCCCCAATGTCTTTTTTTTTAGTTTCACCATACTGTTTAAAAAGGCCTTGCATGCAATGTCGGGTACCGCGCGTGATTTGTCAATACGATTGTCTTACAAAAAAAGCAACCAAACGCTTTGCAAGGAGCAATCATGTCTTAAGAATAGCATGTTCTGTAGGATCCGATTAGCAAGGACTCGACTAAACACAACCCCTAACAGTGCAATTCCGATTCAACAGATGCTTTTGTCGAAATCTTTTAAGATGCCATGCGATATACCCCACACCCCCGTGCTAGCCGGACCTACCTTGGTCAATTGCCAACTGGCTGCCATAGACAAATCACGCAAGGGTGGCTTCTACGCGGCGGCACGACGGCAAGAGCGTCCTACCGGCGAGATGTGGTGTTCTACCACATCCAACTGGTGGAGTACCAAGTGCCAAATGGTGCCCTAGTACCAAAGTACCAAATCGTAACACCGCCTCGCCTGCTGGTGGCAGGCCCGTGCATTTTGTTGCAACGACTTGGCATCATCAACGGGGTGCCGGTAGTGTAGTGGTTAATGCATCTGCGCTAACCAATGCGCGTCTGGGAAACCAGAGATACGGGGTTCGATTCCCCGTGGTGCCCGCCCTTCCTGCCAAGGTGAGAGGCAGGCGACGCCATATAGCCTCAGCAGCTAAGTGCGTCGTAAAGCCCCAATGACATGACATGACTTGACATCATCGACGAGTGTGGTGGTTTGAGCTTTGAGCTCCGTCCTTCAAGTGTAACGTGCACGTCATCTGTGATTTTTAGACACCCCGACTCAATATCAGAAGCTGTGGCGTTTGTCGGCATCGCCCTTGTCATGGAATCCTGAAGCCCTATTGCGGACACCGTTTCTGATACTGTGTCCCAGCATTTAAGGCCGCATTCCGGAGACGTAATTTCCCATTCAATTGAGGGCCTCAGCCACGTGCTTTGAGGAAAGGACGATCAAATGTGTGAGAAACAGGTTTTGTGCATCTTCAGGAAGTGCTTAACCACTTTTTCAACTTGATCCTCCCCCCTAGCCATTTCACGGTACTCTGTCCGGTTTGCTCCCGTAAAATGAATGCAACAATTTTTCTATGGAGGAATTAAGCCCGCTGAAACCGTTCAGTTGATGGTACAGTCGCGTACATGCAATGCAGCACATGCTGCGACACTTTTCCCATTTTTTCGGTATCTTTCCTGATTCCCATAACCTCTTCCTGATTTCCATGACTTCCTCCTAACTCGTATGGCTTTCTCCCGATTCGTACGACTTCCCACTGATTCGTATGACTTCCTCCTGATTCGCGCGACTTCCTTCTGATTCTTGATTCGTATGACTTCCGCCTGGCTCAAACTGCTCAGTTAATATCTTGATCTTTCTTAATTTCTTTTCTTCGGCCCATGGTCGCCTCGTGCTCTGTGACATTTGGGGACAACCTTGTCTGAAGCACGGGCCATGTGCGAAACGAGTTAACTGCAGCGGTTGTAAATTATGGCAGCCCTTGAAGAGCTAAAGCATTACAGCGCCCTGAGCCGAAAGAAGTGAGGTATTCACACGAGACCATGGTGGCATGAGACATGACCGCGGGCAGGGGTCAAGGATCTGTTGGTGAGCCACATGTTTTCTTAGCTTAAGCAATACTTAAACATCTCTTCTGCTAACCCAATCTGGTTAGCGTTGGATGACTATTCTCTGAACGGCTTCTCATGAGTGCGGTAGCATGGATTGATAGGCATATAATTGTGCAGTCAATTTTGGCTGTTTGTCACTGTTAACTAGAAATACCCGGGATCGGGCTTTGCAAATACAACAGCGTTTGTCCGTCACTACACGACTAATTCACACGATCTAAAATCCTTCGGTGTTCAACGACGAAAGCATGGCCGACAAAGATCGTAACCACACAGCATACAAAGTTCCTTGTGCTCTATCGTATCCAATGCAGTGCTCGAAATGTGTCCATAGTGTCACATACTATTCCCTACGCTTTTGTCGCGCTGAAAAGCCCTTCGCACAAGTTACCCCGTTTACTCATGTCATGCTCTTCGCATGCAATTGAGTGCAATACCGCCGCACACTAATTATGCAAATCAGGCTACACATCTATATGAGGCTATCATTTCGTTCCTCACCTCACGAAATTAGTCAGTGTGACAGGTGGCGATATCACAAGCCGGCGTTCACCGTGGGCAGGCGATGCAAGTAAATGGCCACCACAGAAACCTGCGAGCATCTTCAACGCGCAGGGATCACCGACCACGGATCACCGCATACCCGCCAAGCAGTGCAGCACGGTGAAATCGGTGAACGCCTCAAGGATCGACATAAAAGCTCTTGGCACCAGCACAGACTACCATTGCGGCGCAACAGCAAAGTGGCCACCATGTGAGTGGGGGTAAGATGCACCAAGATGAGGCGAGGTGCCGCACACTTGACCACTTCTGTGAGGAGAGACGCTTGTGGGGGGCGCTCCCGCCCAGGCGGCGCCACTCTTCTATCGCCAGCGACGGCCGCCGCCGCTCGGGAGACGCTTGTGGGGGGCGCTCCCGGCCAGGCGGCGCCACTCTCCTATCGCCAGCGACGGCCGCCGCCGCTCGGGAGACGCTTGTGGGGGGGGCGCTACCAGCCAGGCGGCGCCACTCATCCCATCGCCAGCGACGGCCGCCGCCGCTCAGAGGTGCGGGATACTACAATGCATCCAGCCTGGCCAGCCTGTCGGCCAGCTGCTGGTCTGTGAGCGCGGATGACGTGGAGCCGAGGGCTCCCCGCTCTGCCGCCGGGGCCTCGCGAACCTGCGCACACCAGCCGCCGCTGTCATGTCGCGCTGGCCATCCGGCCGACTTATGCAAGCAGCTTGTGACGCACCGCAGTCGGTCAGAATTTCCACAAGCGCAAAATTCTTCAAAAGATATGGCACTTGGTGATAACAGGGGTACCTTTCCGGCTCGTCAACAATTAACTGTAACAATCACGAGTTTTGCCTGCTGAGAATCAAAACACCACACCCTGTGCCAGCTGCTAAACTGATCGGCGTTATTTTGACGATCATTCTCCGATTGGTTGTGTTCACCTCGCAAACTTTCACACGACATCCGCGATGATCATCCATCACAAATCATTTAGACAATGTAAAGAATATCGTGAGAAAAATGACACCCATTTATCTCTTCCTCTGGAAAAAAACATCGATAGCAGGGGGCGGACAACTAACCCTGGCGCTACCGAACTGACCTTGTTGGAGAACTCGATATCAAGCTCGTCCAGCACCTGGCTGACCACGGCCTCGCTCTCCTCGCCATCGGACTCGTTCAGCAGGTCGTCCAGCACGTCGTCCACTGCAGCACAGACGAGACTGGCGTCAGCGTGCCACCGCCGCCGGCAGCACGGCACACCCGCACGTCCGTACGCGCAGCACAGCAATCTCACACTATGAGGACCCAAAAGGGTCCTTCGGGGTCCTTTGGGATCCTATACAAGCCGACATAGCACGGCACAAATCACGACAGGGTAAATCTACGCACACACACAAACACACACATGGTCGGGACTAGAGACGCAATTTTCTCCAAAATATCAGCCCGCAGCCCGGCCCGCCCGCCCAGCTAGTGATCCAGCTTGCAAGAACCCACCGTGCTATATTGCTGATCCGCCATTAATCCGCCAGTACTAACTTTGCGATATCCACTTTGCTATTTCTCATTCATCTTGGCCCCATACAACAAAGTGTGCATAAAACGGCCGGTCAGTGTCAGCCAATTGCATCGCTAGTCAGTGCTGGCTAACAACAGTGATGTTGCTTAGAGAGAAGTCTTCAAAAGTGCCTGGACAATACAACTTCTATTGCACCAAAACAGATGTTGAACACTGAAGTGGCAGTTTTAACCACCGATGAGAAAGGAGGGGGTGGAATTTCAACCTATCCATCACCAAAACGCGCTGAAGGTGTAACACGAACGCCTAATCTCAATAGGCCACAGGCCATGTGTTCTAAAATTGCATGCACCAACTAATAGCTTTGCATTGCTAGAGTAACAAACGCTGGATGCTATACGCCATGGAGGCCTTCTCAGTGCATTACACTGTAGATAAGCACAAACATCAACTGAATGCGTCTCAATCGCCATAATGTCACAACCCGCATTCAAGGGAGTGTTCCACATTCCTGTGGGGTTTTGAGCTGATCTAGCCATCTCGAAGATCATCCGATGCAGTTCACAGCTCTGTCCTTATCAAGACCTAAATCCCTCAAGTTTCTGAGCTACACACCCGCGAACATGGAGAGGCCGTTTCGGGCAAAGTATTTCAAGGTCACCTTGGCATTTATAACGCCATCGTAACGTTCTTCAGTCCTGCCATTCTGTCACCTATACTGCGATAAAAGCCAGGAAAAAATAATAATCGAGTCGTTCAATCTGACATTCGTGAACACGATTTCCAGATATAACGGTCAACTGGCTCTCAATCAATGTTGTACAAAGTGCAATAACGTATGGAGGACAATATTTGCATAACAGAGAAATTGTGATGTCTAAAGCAGTCCTTTCCACTTAAAAGTACAACAACAGTTACAAGTGGGCTTGTTTTATCATATCTGATGCTTGCTTCAACAACTTCAAATGTGCAGCATTCCCTTTCAATAACCAGATGTAGTCTTATAGGTGGTGTTCACTACTAGTTAGTGGGTACATCATGTGACATCACCAAATAAATGCTACATGGTAGCTTTAAAATGATCCGCATTTCTTTTTCACCAGTATCCATATCCCGCTCCAAAACCATCGCCGTAGGACAGCAATCATATTTGCCTCTCCAGTGACACCACTGACATTTACCCAAATTTCTAGGACAAAACAAATTGTAAACACTACGTCCAGGAGCTCTTTTCACATTTCACATAGCCTGCTGACCGCAACTTTGATACATCTCCAATTTCAATCCATCTCCAACGTTTTGTTGACGAAATATGTTGACTTGAAATTTGTTCACAGAGAATTGAACTTCCATACATTGGAAGATATGGGCAAGTCAAACTGAACCAAGACACTGATGAGACATGTTGGAAACTACTTACAATGGGACTAAGGGAGACATGTATACATGTCATAACCCTGTGGTTGTGGTCTAAATTATATTTTCCTCCGAAATTAATAGACAAACTGTACGTCAGCACTTCTTTCCATTGCAGCAACTATTGAGCATTTCATACATCAGTAACCGCAAGCTGTATTGACAAGACAGACAAGGGCGATGAACGCCATCAAAGCTTGAAAGAACACGGAAAGACTTAAACTATTGTGACGTCTGAAAATGAAAGGCAAGGTTTCCCACGCATTTCATTGCTCATTCATCATTGCTCATTCATCATTCATTGCTCATCTTGATTTGTGATGCATGGCTGTGTGTGAAACAATAATGTTTGAGTGTGCCACACCCTCATAAAAGCCAAGTGCAGCATGACTGGATGATCTAATGATTGTCATATTCACGTAAAAATATAATAACGAATCATATATACATATAAAAGGGTTAAAAAATTGCGTCGCTGGTCCTGACTAAAGCTAAAAAAACGAAAAGTAAAGCGGGCAAACGACTCTCGTCATCGGACCGAGACCGGTCACTCCATCGGACGCCTCCAGCAGCCGGCACAGTGAGACACAACTGACCCATCTCCTCGGACATCCCCATCTTGGCGCTCTCCCGCTCGAACTGCTGCATGGTGCGGGCCAGCTGCTGTGGATTGATGGCCCGGTTCATCTGGCCCATGGTCCGGCTGGTGGTGGCCATGACGCCGGCCACCTTGGCGTTGGCCGCCATCGTCTTCTGCTGCGTCGACGCGGCTCGTACCTGGTAACGGCATCACCCAGTCAGCTGACTGATTCGTGGCGGCAGACGGTCGCCGGCGTCCAGGTGCACCGCCAGAGCCAGGCGAGGCTGACGTGCGACCGGCACACGTGCACACATGGGCCTGCAAGCATCACTTTCCGGAGAAAATGGTGGTGGTTTGGGCTTTCCAGACATAAGCATCCGGAACACCGAAAAACAACTTGTTTACCCACAGGCTATCATTGTGACCATTCTCAATGGCATACCGTCAACGGATGCCAGGTGGTAGTTCTGCGCGCATTGTCTACCTCCCCAGATCAGGCCGTTGCGTCGGGTCTAGCACCCGTGCGGGCGCCGCACCGTGTTGGCACCGGCGGGGCGCGAGACCGCAAGGTGCGGCACAGCCGACCACTCCGCCCGGTCGCACCCACCTGGGTGCTGGCCGCGTAGCTCCTAGTCTTCTGCTTCCGTAGCAAAACCAGCCGCTTGGCAAGCACGGCGCATGCCTGCTTGTTGCCCTCCTTGGCGTTCTTGCGGATCTCAGCTTCCTGCAGCCGTGCATAAGGGGTGGTAGATGCAGGCACATTGTTATGGTCACTGCTGGTCGGCTATAGCCCGACGACGATGCGCAAACTACCAAGACAGCCGTGCTTTCAGGTGAACATCACGCACTCAATCCGTATCGGTAAATGCCCAGTATTTCAGCATACAACGACCACAGCTTTCACACTGTTCTATAAACAACCAACGACGACCTGTATGGCGTTTAACAACGTTGCGTGATACAAAAACATAAGTTTACCCCGGTCAGGTTACATATGCAGGGGAAAACTGCAATGCTGAAGTGAGGCCACACTGCTGAGCGTGGCTTGCCGGCAAACGCCATGGCCTAGGCTTGGTATGAACGAGCACGCAGTCACAAAATGCAGAGTATTTGGGAGCATCTTACCAATCCGAAAACAGTTTGCTATGTAAAATAATACTAGTCATTATTTGTGATCACAAACTGTATACATACTGAGAACAGTCAAAGCATCATGCATGATGTAAAATACATGCCGACGGCATTATGTAATATATATACTCGCCAGCTTTTTTTCTTCAACCTCCACCTTTCTTCTGTCTCTATCCAATTCCCGTTCTGTCTTTTTCAATGCACGGTCATTTTGACGCATTTGCTCTGAAATATCTCGGCGTAATATAACACATTATCATGGCTTCACATGCCAAATCCCATATCACGCAAGCAATACAACATCGCAACAGCAGCTCCACGGAAGCACACCTGGACTGTTGACAGAAGTTCGGCAAATAAAGCTCGTCTCGATATTGACATTCTCTTGCGCTATATCCCTTCAAAAAGATGCAAAGCAATTCAACATCTGAGACAGTACAGATCATTTGGTACAATGTCTCAATTACTGATGATACCGAAAGACCACTAAAGACACGGGCTAAGCTGTCTTGTAACCTCCTGCATTACTGCCATTAGATTTTGAGAATTCATTGAACATCCTCTATAAAAAAGCGCCAAGAACACCTAGCCTCCGCGACAAAGTACGTCTATTCCAGGCCAAGGTAGCTCTGATCTACGTCGACATACCTTTCGGGGTGGGCGTCTTACCAAACCAACTCATGGATTACAAATAAAGCTGATCATGCAGCACGCATTACACAAATCTGCAATAATGAAACACATGAATAAGAATACAGAACAAATCCCACATGTCAATTATCATCACAAAGTCCACAATCAGTTATTTCAAATGTCTTACATGCCCCATCATGTCACAAAGAGCATTAACATTCCTGCTTTGCGATGTACCTACTCTGGCTTTTTTGGTGAACTTAACTATAAGGGAGCATGAGATGCATGCAATATATTTCCTCTTAATAATGAAGCTTACCAATTTCTGGACCTCACTTTTATGCACCATTGGCATTTGGGGGAGGGGGGAGGGGCATAACGAGGCAAGCATAACACGTTGTTTAGACGTCCAGGAGCAAAACCAAACCAATTCCGCAGAAACAGGAAACGAAACAGAAACAGGTCCCCCCATACCAATAACGCCAAGCACACAGCTTGAATCATTGCCATGGTGCCACTACTACACTGGGCATATTGTCATTATGAGCATCTCTGCAGTCTGGAAGCCCATCCATCCAGCTTTAGCTTGCCTTATGCACCCTGCAAAGGACGAAGCAACTGTGTGTAGAGATAGTCATTGTCCTGGTGTTCCATTTGCAGGTGTCACAGCCTTCTGGCCATGTCTAAACACTCTAAAATTCCCCCTCAAGTTATCTGCCCACCCTGTTCCACCCCAATTCACCGGCGTTCTGCCATTCAAAGAAAAAATGCCTAGGTACTGTCTTACCTGCTATCACTCAGGCCTTTCAGCGTCCCTCCTATTTGGATGGCAGTGTCATGTGTGTATCATTGGGGCTTTACGGGGCAGCCAAGCTCGAGCACACGACCCCCAGCCAACCTTGAGCACACGACCGTGTTAATGAATCATTGGGTGCCCGTCAAGGCGGGGCAATAGAACACAGATGCCACGCTGGGCGTTACGGCGTCGTCAAGGCTCGTAAACTGGTGGGAGTAAACCCTTCTTGTTCGCTTGCCATTCAAGAGTATTTGTAATGTTTCCAAAAACAGCATAAGAAACTTATTGCACAGGGAAGATTAAACTGCATCTGCATACCAAGTTTTAGGTCCGATTTGGGAAATCCGCTGAATCCCAAATATGGACTTAAATCTGTACGCGAATGTGGTGCCAACTTGACGAACGTACATTAGAAAGAATACCAATACAAGGAAGACTTGGTATTTGTTCAGTTCTTGCGCAGTGCTTACGCAGTACTGCTGTCGTAATTGATTGAAGACACTGTGCGGTCTGTATGTGCCATACAATAAAACCCTGCCTTTCGCGGAGCCGATCGAAGGGGATCGCGGTCGTTCGAGGGGGTGAGGAGTATGGATAGTATTGCCGCTCAAGGCATTAAGTAACCAGCCTACCGGTACATGCTTTGATGCAACGTTGCCTGCTTGTGGCTGTGTTGTGATGATAGGTGCTTGTGATGGCAGTAAGTTGCTTTATTGCCGTGTTTTCAACTAAAGCTGCAGTGTACAAGTTGGCAAAAAGCAAAGCAAATCATGAGCAATGGGCACAATTACTGGTGTAATATCTTGCCTCACCTCAAGACGACCATTATGATCTCACCCTATTGGTCACCTATGCCTATTTGACAATCCATGTGTTTTCAGCCATTGCACTGGCTCCCACTCCATGGTCGAGTGGGACAAAAATGCAGTTAGAAGAAAAGGGTGTAGGTGTACTTTCCTATCTAACGTTGGAAAAAATCATTGCACACCATTCGTCGTGTTCAAGGCGGCACATATCGTAAATCATCTCAAAACAGGTAGAATCATGCTCCTACCTTCGAATTTCAATAACTTCGATGGCGAGCTCCCGAGCGCCGCGCGCACCGCACCGCCTGGACTCCCCAGCGCCGTTTCTGCGTTGCCGTCGCGTAAATACAATATTTCTGCTTACCAAGAACTCTACAAAATGTACGGAACCAAGGTAAACCATTCGTCGTGTTTAAGGCGGAACATATCGTAAATAATTTCAAAACAGATAGAATCATGCTCCTACCCTCGAATTTTAATAAATACGATAGCGAGCTCCCGAGCGCCGCACGCCCCGCACCGCACTGCCTCGACTTCCAAGCGCCGTTTCTACGTTGTTGCGAAAGCACAATATTTCTGCTTATCAAGAACCATGAAACATGTACGGGACCAAGGTAACAATAATAAAGCAACCAAAATCGTTTCTTATCGAGTTTAGGTACATTTATGAAACACGCAGGCCAGAATAGTCCAGAACATATCCTAACCTAACCTAACCTTACCTAACCTAACCTAACCTAACCTAACCTAATCTAACCTAACCTAACCTAACCTAACCTAACCCAACCTAACCTAACCTAACCTAACTGAGAATAGACCAGAACCTAAGCTAAGCTAAGCTAAGCTAAGCTAGCCTGACCTGACCTGACCTGACCTAACCTAACCTAACCTAACCTAACCTAACCTAACCTAACCTAATCTAACCTAACCTAACCTAACCTAACCTAACCTAACCTAACCCAACCTAACCTAACCTCCCCACCCTATATCCCCTTCAACCTAGCATCTCATTGGCATCCATGTTCCATGCCATATATAGGTGCCATATAGTGAGCTTTTATTTAGCTGCCATGTTCTCATTTTGCTTTACATTCCCCACCCAATCCCCCCGCAACCCATGGTCCCGTTGGCGTCGAGGATCAAATTTCATGGATTCTTGTCCCGTAATGTACCTTGTCCCGGTACATTTTTATGGTTCGCAGTAAATATGGTTTATAGTTGTAGTATGGTTTATATAGTATAGTTTATAGTTATATTTATGGTTTATAGTATGGTTCGCAGTTAATATGGTTTATATGGTAAATATGGTTATGGTAAATATGGTTTATGTTTAGTAAATATTTTTATGGTTCGCAGTTAGGTTATGGTTGTCCTGCCTTAAACATGGCGAATGGTTTACTTTGGTCCCGTACATTTTGTACAGTTCTTGGTACGCAGAAATATTGTATTTACGCAACGGTAACGCGGAAACGGCGCTGGGGAGTCCAGGCGGTGCGGTGCGCGGGGCGCTCGGGGGCCCGCCATCGAAGTTATTGAAATTCGAAGGTAGGAGCATGATTCTACCTGTTTTGAGATTATTTACGATATGTCATGCCTTAAACACGACGAATGGTGTACAATGATTTTTCTTCTAACGTTAGGTAGGAAAGTACACCCTGACCAAGAAAAGTCACAAGTGTTTATTAATGATATAATCTAGTGATTTGGTGCATTCCTGGCCCAATCATTATTGAGCTGTGATGATCTACTTGACAATTTTAGGTAACTTGGTAAAACAGTGGTAGCTATCATGATGACATATTTCATGTTCAGACACTTTGTCACTGTAAGTGGTTGTGAAGTTTTGATTTATCTTCCATCGATTTTCCTTATTTCACCAGGTCTGAATTAATGCTTCTGAAAAGCAATGCCATTATGTTATATATTGCTTATCTCCTTTTAGGCGTGTTTAGCACCGCTGGCCCGGTCTGCAGACTTGGCAAACATGCCAACAAGATATTAGGGGCAGACAGAATCCTTCCTCAGAAGGATAGTTAACTGTCCCATGTGAGACAGATTTTGTTAACATTGGCTGTCCCAAAATGTGATGTACCATGATATTTTGCTATTTTCTGTTATCTTGCTATCTTTATCTTATAGATATGCCCTCAATAGTCCAATTTGATATCTGCCCCAATATTCTGATCAGCTCCCCAAATAGGAAGTTGTACCTCACCTGCACCTCCACAAGATTCTGCCAAAATATGTCATGCTGTGCAGACTTACTGCGGACAAGTGCTGGCTGAGGTAGTTGTGGGCTGTGTTGGTTGGTCGGTTGCTGTGGAAAGTAGAGCTGCTGTTCTCTGAACATGGAGTTCTTTTAGGAGAAGAGAAATGTTTTACATAATTAGTAGAATAATATAAGCTTGAAAAGCATGCTAAGTCATTCACAATGTAGTCTATACTATTTGTTTTTTGCAGTATTGTTTGTAGGTAAAACATTTACATGACTGTCTTAATAGCCTTATTTCTTGTAGAATAACTAGGAGAATAAATAGATGGATGTTTATCTTGGCTGCATGGTTTTGTTGAAACAAATCCTCCGAATAAAAATGAAGAAACCCGTTTCTTTCAGCAAAGGCATTGAGTCAAAATATCTTACCTATCTCTCTGTTCTGGTCACTCCATGAAGAATCATGCCATTCATGCTGTCTTATCTGTATGCATAATGGTAAGTAGAACATTTCACCACTGCTGATTTTGAAAAGTGGTGATGCATTGACCATTGTATTTATTGGTTGGTGTACAAAATATACCAACATGTCATAAGCTTTTTTAGATCTTATTATATTAGACCTTATGGTGCTTTACTCTACCGCATAGATCATTGTCTTACATCGAGTATTATTTCTAGGAATAATAGATTCACCATTACCTCTACATTACACAGATCTCCCTGATTTCCTGTTACAATCAGCATTTCTAGTCACCAATTCCTCAGCAGTTTTAGCATGCTTTCCAATTCACTCTTGCAATTATTGTTAACACACACTCGGGGTCAAATTGACCCTCCCCGAAGATTTTTCTGGAATGATTTGGGAATGGCAGGGTGTAGCAGCACCAAATTTTGGATAGCTGTAGACAATTGGGTAGCAGATTGCTGAAATAAAAAAATTAGATGTGCCCTGTAAGGCTGCTGATCGATGACAGGGCAAAGTCAGGCCGTGGTTTCAGCAAAGGCAATTTCCAGGGAATTGTTCAATCTGGTCCAACAACAGAGATAGATATGTTAGATAGAGCCAAGGCTGTAGAACAGATAGAGCCATGCAACTCAGATATTTTCCTAAGCAACAGAACATTTGAATGAATTGAATTACATTGACCCAGGGTCAGATATGAAGGTCAGACCAAGGACAAAACTAACCTGTTTTATTACTCCAGCACTTGCTGTATGGGGAAGTTCCTGGTGCTCATTTCAAATTTATTGATAACATGAGCCACATTATACACCTTCCATAGGTTTCTTAAAGGTCAGAATAGGTCGCTGATCTAGAATGACCTATGCCATGTATAGGAACCCTTTGGTGACCAGCCTGGAATTTGACCTTTTTTACCTCATTTGACCCGAAGGTTATGGCATGGGAACCTCAAACTTTTACCTAAATGAGTTCACATACAGGTCAACACACTCTGTGAATTTGGTATCTCTAGCTCCCTTAGTTCTTGAGACCGTAGGGAGGGGGGTGATGTTGACCCCACACTAGAGTGAAGGGTATTTAACCAACCATCCTGGAGCATGTTAGCTAAGGCTGTTATGTTCTGCTTGCAGCCACTGCTTCCATGCATAAATAAATGTTTTGTTTGAATTGTGCTGGTGACAACCAGGGCCTTTCTTTACTTCAGATAATTTTCCTACCTTCATCTGACTAACCCATTTTTCTCTTGGTCAAGTTTGGCTTTTGTGACTTTTGTGCTTTTGTGACAAGGTACATTGTTCTTTAGGTCCCAGACTGTAAATGATGGGCACAAGTGAAGATAAAGTGGGAAGCCTGGAAGATGAAGCAAAGAAAAGAAGAGAAAAGCTTGCAGTCTTGAAAAGACGTCGCCAAGAAAGAGCTGCAACAAATGATGACGAGCCTGATTACAAGAAAGATGCCCTGCCAAAGTAAGTACCCTGTGCACTTTTCCCCATGCAATCAGACAAACATATTTCATGTAAGTGACCAGCCCCTGTAAGCTGCTGTGGCTAGGTGCATGTTCTTCATTTTACCTGAAAATGACAGTAGCATTGTCCTGCTGCAGACCTGTGTTCCGGAGCTACAAGCCCATCGACGAGAAGCTGAAGGAGTCAGAGCTGCCTGAGGCTGAGCCGGGGAACGTGGACGCCCTACTGGGCGCAGTCGAGACCAGCGATGCTGCTGCCGCCAGGCCCGAGGAGGTGGTGAGTGCTGCGTTGGAAACACAGTGGGTCCTCAGCAGTGCTCACCTCGGCAGGGTACCCCCGCGTCCCTCTAGTGTGACGCACCTCCATCTCTGTGTCCCCCTGACGCCCGACTCCCTTCAGGGGTACACCCCCGCGTCCCTCTAGTGTGACGCACCTCCATCTCTGTGTCCCCCTGACGCCCGACTCCCTTCAGGGGTACACCCCCGCGTCCCTCTGGTGTGACGCACCTCCATCTCTGTGTCCCCCTGACGCCCGACTCCCCTCAGGGGTACACCCCCGCGTCCCTCTAGTGTGACGCACCTCCATCTCCGTGTCCCCCTGACGCCCGACTCCCTTCAGGGGTACACCCCCGCGTCCCTCTAGTGTGACGCACCTCCATCTCCGTGTCCGTCTGACGTCCGACTCCCTTGGGGGTTACACCCCTGCGTCCCTCTGGTGTGACGCACCTTCATCTCTGTGTCCCTCTGATGTCTGGCTCCCTTCGGGGGTACACCCCCGCGTCCCTCTGGTGTGACGCACCTCCATCTCTGTGTCCCCCTGACGTCCGACTCACTTCGGGGGTGCACGACATCGCGTCCCTGTGGTGTGACGCACGGCCCCCCCCCCCCCCCCGTCTCCGTGTTACCCTGACGTCCGGCTCCCTTCGGGGGTACACCCTCGCGCCCCTGTGGTGTCACACACCCTCAGTCTATGTCCCCCTGACGTCCGGCTCCCCTTCCCTCCCCCTGGCAGGACGTCGCGCAGCTGGCGCCGCGCAAGCCCGACTGGGACCTGAAGCGGGACCTGGCGCCGCGGCTGGAGCGGCTGGAGCGGCGCACGCAGCGGGCTATTGCCGAACTCATCCGCCAGCGGCTGGAGCGCGAGCAGGGCGCCGACGTCTTGGTGGACGCCGTCAGCACCGCCGCTGCCGCCGCCGGCGACGACGACGACGAGTAGGCGGCGGGCGCCGCAGGCGGACGGCGGACAGTGCAGGGCGTGGCGACGGCGGTTCGGTGTAGCGCGTGCTGTGGCCGCACGGCGGCATGGCCACCGTCACGGCCCCCACTGTCACCGCCAAGGTGGTGTCGTTTAGCTCCGGTAGGCACCAGCGGCGACAGCAGTAAGACGACGGCCAGGCTAACCAGGCCGTAGCTTGCCCTGCAGCGGTTGTGCGGACCGCCTGCCGTGTGGGACCATGGCGCAGTGTCTGGTGTTACACGCACCTGGCAGCAACAGCGCAGAACCGGACGTTGAGCGAAGCTCGCCGCTGTCTCACCGCTAATGTGAGGGAGCATGCTGATTTGTCAAAATACGCCGGGCTCGCACCAGAATGCTGCCAGGCCGAGGTGTAATTGTCTGGTGTCAGTGTGTGTGTTTGGAGCGTTGTTGGC